GATGTGAATTCACATACTTCATAAAAGTCATTTTCATTGCCAATAATATTTTTTCCAATACTTCAATATTATTTTATTGGGGAAAGTGTCTGGGGTAAAATAAAACATTTAAAACATGGTTCTTCAGCTACTTGAAAACAGTCACCTATCTGGAAGTTCCTTTGGAAGTTCTCTAATGAATAATATTTTTTCTTTCAATTGCTAAAATCAGTATAATGAAAAAAATCAACTTTGCTATTACCTAGTACTATTAACAAGTCAAAAATTTTATGATGATTCAAAATTTATAAAAATTTAGACTAAATGTTCTGTAAAGATCAAAAATAAACAATATAATCAATAATTTAATGAAAATTGCTGATCTTTAAAACAAACTAGATATACTTGCTATCATTTATATATGAAAACAATATTAATAATTCACCATCAAAAAAAATCTCATAGTTATTTACCTGATGGCAGAAATGGGCCAGTACATATTCTTATATGTACATATTCTTTCATGTCATTTTTTCCTTATTAAATGAACACAAATTTTGTAAAAGGTCTACCAGAGTTATTACTGCAACCTACAAATTACTGTTTATTTACCTCTCCAAGATTAAACTGGTGATCAAGATTACAGTAACATGATATTTCAATCAATTTCACTAAAAGGCCCAGGAATTTGCTTTGTGAATGCAGTTGAGTAATTTACTCTCTTTACAGTAATTCGCTAACTGCAAGAAAAGTCTGAGGAAAAAAAATTGGCTTATTTAATCACTGGTATATAATAAATGATGACATAGGTATGAACTTTTATTATTTCTCTAAAATGAGGAAGTATAGTATATTACAGGTCATGGGGCCAATGAACAAGAACTGAATACTTAACAATAGGAAAGAAAAGTCAGGGTTTGCAGTGGCAGGGAAGAAGCTTGCCAACTAGATTGGCCTTCTATCTCTCTTTTTTTTTTTTTATTTCAGCATATTATGGGGTACAGATGTTTAGGTTACGTGTGTTGCCCTTGGTTCCCCCCCCAAGTCCGTGTTTCAAATATGTCCATCCTTCGGGTAGTGTGCATTGCACTCCTTGTGTATACAAATACCCGTCCCCTCCTCCCTCCTCCCCGCTCCTCCCGCCACCCTCCCCCTTCCCCAGCATCCAATAGATGTTGTTCTGTTATGTGCATTTATGTGTTGATTAGTTAATACCAATTTGATGGTGAGTACAAATGGATCCCGTTCTTCTGTTCTTGTGGTGCACCACTTTGGATAATGGGCTCAAGTTTAATCCAGGAAAGTGTAAGTGGTGCTAGATCACTGTCATTTCTTATGATTGAGTAATATTCCATTGTAAACAAATACCAAATTTTGATAATCCACTCATGGACTGACGGGCACTTGGGTTGTTTCCACATTCTTGCAATAGTGAATTGTGCTGCCATAAACATTCGGGTGCAGATGTCCTTATCGTAGAATGTTTTGTGCTCTTTTGGGTAGATGCCTAATAGTGCTAATGCTGGATGGAATGGTATCTCTTTTTGAGTCATTTTTATACTTTATCGCAAATCTGAACCAATAATGGCAATTACAAAATGTTTTAACTTCTTTGTACTTTATAAATTCTTTTACACTCCTCTCTGGTAGGAGTAGTGTCTCTGGCAGAAACCAGAGCAGAGACCTTTCTTTTCTTCCTATGATTTAAGGATTGGGTTGCCTGTACATGACAACAACAACAACAACAACAACAAAAAACTTTATTGGGGGAAGTGGAGGGACATGACAGAGAAGTCATATACACACAAGGAGTCGTCAATGAGAGATCTGTAGAGACCAATTTAGAGAAGAAGAAGTAAGTTTTTTCTGTTGAAAATTGGCATCGTAGGACTCACATTTATACTTCCTTCAGCTGACATTAAAGCATCCTGCAAGAGATTTGATTCATTTACAGCTTCAAACCTAAGTATAATACATACAGGCCAAAGTGTTTCTTGATGATACTTATTGAACTCAGCATATACTGAACTATCAGCATAATAAGGGGAAAAAGTCATAGTATTAAAAGGAAGAGTGTTAATGAAATACTTACTTCGAACTTCATATTGGTTATACTCCACTGTCTTTAGCAGAGGATGAGAGAAACAGTGCCACGGTAGTTGTTTTCTAACTTGAGGCAGTACATAATGGGTTACAAACCCCACAAAGCCAACCAGTGCATACAACACATACTTGAGAGCAGGCTAAAAAAATAAGTACAAAAAATTGAAAAAATTAGGAGTAATTTTGAGAATCATAGTAGAACTTCAAATTTGTCAGTTTAGTTTCCCATTTGATAACGAAGAGCAAAAAGAATTTTAGAATCTAAAAGCCAAACATTTTTCTACAGTTAACATTTCTGTATTATGCATTTTTCTGATTAAATCAGCCATGAAAGTTACTGGCTGTTATATATCATAGATATTTTAAAATGCATTAACTGCTTTCTTTGGTGTCTCACACTACTGTATGATGAGAGAGTGGCCTGAGTTATATTGCTTTCTACCATGAGAATGTTCTACATGACATTCAGAGCAATGTATTGTTTTAAATAGCAAAGATCAAGGACACGGACTATGGTAGGGTCTGCCTGCAACAGTCAGCTGCATATACTGGTTCACAGAACATGGCTTGGCACACAGCTACATGCTGACCCAAGGCATGGAGGCCCAGGCACCCTAGAGCCACCAGCCTCGGTCACTGAGGTGGTGTCAGCCATGGGCATCACTGATGAACATATCACAGCCGCCAAGAGTCCAGCCTCTTTCCTGCCACCCTTCACGCTTCCCAGAAGGGTCCCATCTGCTCCTTCCTCAACTACATCGCGAAGTATAACAGGGCCTAGAAGCTTGATGCACACCTGTGTAAGCACACAGGGCAGAGACCATTTGTTTGTGACTACGAAGGGTATGGTAAGGCTTTCAGCAGGGACAATCATCTGGGTCATCACATCCTGACTCATACTGAAGAAGAGCCATTTGTTAGAAAAATAATACATCTTAAAATTTCTCTTCCCTACTACCACCAACACCTAAACATATCAACTGGAGGTCCAAGGTCTGGCCCACCTGGACCCAATACCACCAGTGCTCATGGATGCTGCCCAGCAGCCTGAGGACTAGCACATCCAACCCACTACTGCCACCACTAGTGCCCAAGGACCAGCACCCCTAGCATCCCCAACCCAAGCAAAGCCTTGCCACTGCCTCCATTAACAAACACAGCCTAAGCTACTGAGGAACTCACACATACCACTGACACCAGTTATAGCCTTAGAAATCACAGGGACACATTACTATACCCATCCAGAAGCAAAGCCAACACATCCTGCCTAACCAACATCATACATCTACAGGAAAAAGTCTTTCCCCATAAAAGACAATCCACAAAATTGGAAAAAGCAACTGTTACAAAACATGAACAGATATCATGGTAAGGACACAAGAAACATAAAAAGGCAAGAAAATGTGACACCTCCAAAGGAACGTAATAATTCTCCAGTGAAAGACCCCAAAGAAAAGGAAATATATTAAATGCCTAAAAAGGATTCAAAATAATGATATTGAGGAAATTCAGTGAGATAAAAGAGAACATAGATAAATAATACAAACAAATAAGGAAAAAAAGTCATGATCTAAGTGAGAATGTCAACAAAGAGATACCATAAAAAGAACCAAACAGAAATTCTGTAACTGAAGAGTTCCATGAGTAAAATAAAATATAATTAAGAGTGCCAATAGACTAGACCAAGAAGAAAGAATTTCTAAATTTGAACACAAGTCTTTTGAAATAACCAAATAGTAAAAAAAAAAAAAAAAGAATAAAGAAAGCCTACATGATATATGCAAAACTATAAAACTAACAGATACTCAAATTTTGTCCAGATGGAGAAGGAATGGACAAAGGAATAGAAAGGTTATTCAATGAAATAATGGCTGAAAACTTCCAAGTCTTGCAAGAGATATAGACGATCAGACACAAAAAGCTCAAAGATTCCCAGAAATTCTAGGTGCACCCACAAAGGTCTTCTCCAAGGCACGTTATAGTCAAATTGTTGAAAGTCAAAGACAAAGAGAGAATTCTAAAAACAGCAATAGAAAAGCATCAAGTCACATACAAGGAAATGACCATCACACTAACAGCGGATTTTTCAGCAGAAACCTTACAAACCATATGGAAATACGGATCTACACAAAAGAATGGGGGAGCACTAAACATGGTAATTACAAGGCCTACAGATGAGAGGAACCGTGCTTGAGGAACTGTACATAAGGAACAACACCTGAGGAGCCTCACCCATTCCTAAACCTTTAGATGATAAGGTTCCAGACCTCCAACTGTATTAGAATGAGACTTTTGGGGGTTTTAGGAGGGGATAAGTGCATTTTGCACATGGGAGGATGTCAATCACTGAGGCCAGAGGGTGAGCTGTGGTTGTTGACCTCTGAAATGGTCCCCATGATCCTTGCTTCCTGGCGTTTACACTTACGTATATTCTCTTCCCACAATGTACCAGGGTTGATCTAAGTTACCAACAGAGTATGGAAGAAGTGGTGGGATGTCACTTCCAATATCAGGTTATAAGGGAGTGCAGCTTCTGTCTTGGGCTTTCTCTCTCAAGGGTCACTTGCTCTGGTGGAAACCTGCTGTCATTTTGTAACAACACTCGGGCAGCGTATGGTGAGAAACACATGGAGGGGAACTGAGGTTTCTGGCCAACAGTCAGAAGGAACTGAGGCCTGCAAATAATGAACCTCAGATGACTGCAGCATCATGAAAGATCCTGAGCTAGAATCATCCAGATAAGCCAACTCCAGATTCATGGCTCAGAGAAACCATTAGAAAATAAGTATTTTTTCTGATAAAATCAAATAAAAAGTCACATATTTCAGCATTATGGACAAACATTACTATTGGATTAGAAATGAATCCAAACAAAGTTATAGTCATGCATCATTTAGAGACAGGATACATTCTGAGACTATGTTAGGTGATTTTGTCATTATACAAACATCAGAGTTTACTTACACAAACCTAGATAGTGTAGGTTTACTACACACCTAGGCTTATGGTATAGCCTATTGCTCCTAAGTGATAAACATGTACAGTGTGTTACTATACTGAATACTGTAGGCAACTGTAACACAATATAAGTATTTGTGTATCTAAACATAGCAAACAGTTCAAGTATGGTATAACGTAACCTAAACATCTGTACCCTCATAATATGCTGAAAAAATAAATAAATAAAAAAATAAAGTATGGTATAAAAGATTTAAAAAATGGTACACATGTAAGATAGTTCAATTGTAGTTGACTGACATGTTGTTATGCAGTGTAAGACTATTTTCCCCCAATTAAAAGAACAAAATTATTCTTTACCTGCAATGCTGTGAAGACTGTGCTTACATGAATAGCAAAATACAGCACACCAATTACAATGCATACTACTAGGTCAGACTGTAAACGCTCACCCTGTTGAAAAAAAAAAAGAATTACCAAACAACTACATTAAAATTTTTAAAAATCTTTCCTTTATTCCCAACTAGCAAAGTTTAAGAAATAATTTTTTGTTGATAGTCTGTAAACTTCTAGATATTTCTTAAACATAATTAAAAATAAATATTACTTTCTTCCTCAATTTCCTCATATTTTGGTACTATACTGAAACACAAAGGAAACCAAACAACTTATCTAGTTCTGCTACCAGTATAACATATAACAATGAAGATTTTTATTCCCCCACTGGTAAGTTTTACTTTTACATAGAGGAAAAGGATATAAGTTGCTGTAACATTTTTTAGAATTTTCTTTTTTTTTTTTGAGACCGAGTTTCACTACGTTGCCCAGGCTGGAGTGCCATGGCTATTCACAAGTGTGATCACAGGATATTATAGCCCAGAACTCCTGGGCTCAAGCGATCCTCCTGCCTCAGCTTACCAAGTAGATGGGACTACACAGTGTGCCACTGTGCCTGGCCACAGTGTCATTTATAGGGGTATATCCCTTTGGATAAGTTACGTTTTCATTGGTCTTTTAAAACATTAAAACTGCATGCATATGTCATATTTTACTTACTAGATTTTGGTTCTTTCAGTGATTATAGTAAAAACCAGAAACCTCAATATCTTTGGTTATCAGTTGATCCATTAGATTTATGCTTATAAGCTAGATTTAGACTATACTACTGTATTTAACATGAAATATGCTTTGCTAACAAGGAAACCTAAAGTCAGAAAAAATGTTTGTTTAAATTATATCTTGAGGTAGTTTTGCATTTCTAAAGTTTTCTAAAGAATATATAAATAGGCCGGGCGCGGTGGCTCACACCTGTAATTCTAGCACTCTGGGAGGCTGCGGCGGGTGGATCGCTCAAGGTCAGGAGTTCGAGACCAGCCTGAGCAAGAGCGAGACCCCGTCTCTACTAAAAATAGAAAGAAATTATCTGGACAACTAAAAATATATATATAGAAAAAATTAGCCGGGCATGGTGGCACATGCCTGTAGTCCCAGCTACTCGGGAGGCTGAGGCAGGAGGATTGCTTGACCCAGGAGTTTGAGGTTTCTGTGAGCTAGGCTGATGCCATGGCACTCTACCCAGGGCAACAGAGTGAGACTCTGTCTCAAAAAAAAAAAAAAAAGAATATATAAATAGCTCAAGTTCACTGAAAGTAAATGTTATCTTAATTCAACACATATAAATTTGTTTTTCACAAATGGAAATAATCTAAAATCTGAGAAAAGGACATTTTACATTTTGTTCTATAAAACAGACATGAATCTACAGAATTCATTTTTCAAACAATGACTAAAGAATACAGGCAAAATTATAATTCACTAAATCAGAAATTTTTGAAAATTATTACATTTACTTAACTGTATTATGGTTAATACAGGTTACTGTTCTTTCTGTTCAAACTGGGAAACACACAAACTTTCAGACTGCTCTTGAGAAATAAAACATTCTAAAAGACTAGCAAATGACTTATAAAGACACAGTTTTTATTAACAATACCAACAAAATAAATGTAATTTATGTTAATACTGATCTTTCAGATCCTAGTCTAAACTGACTAGGAATAAAAATTCTATGGTCATTGAAATTACTTAATTTCATCTGACCTAAAAATAAATGTTTAGCATATTGTTCTACACAGAAACCAAGTTTGAGGAATGAGCTTTTCTTACATGTTAAAATTTGGAATAAAGGCAATCAACAATGTACAACTAATCCTGTTAAATATAACTATATATATTTTCCCCCAATTACTAAAAACTTCCAAAAAGTGTTCATTTTATAACATGATCAACCATCTAAAATTTAAGTCTTTTTGGTGATTCTAAAAGCTAAAACTTACAACAGAATTTCTAAGTTTTTCAGGCAGTGGATCTTTTACTTCAGATAGAGGGTCTTCTGGATTTTTCTCTTCTGTTTTTGGAAAAATCTTGGATTGCACCAAAGAACTTTACATTAAAAAAATTAAGAAAAAAATAATTAATAGAAAATACATATGTCATCTGAAAACCAGTAATTTAAATGGCAAATAAAGATGACAGAAAACCAAGTGATCCAAATATATTTACTCATTAACAAATGATAAATTCATAGATATCATAAATAAGCATACAGTGAAAATATTTTTATTAAAATACAGTTTCAATACTTGGGAGGGAAAAAACTAACAAACACTGGTCAGAATGACCCAAAGTTAATGTATTTTGAAATCTAATATAGATCAAGCCAAATGGCACTTTGGAAAGGCACTGGGAAAAAGATATCTTGGAAATTGTTTGAAGGAAATACTGACATATTTAAATTTCTTTAATTCAATTGATTTCACTTACAAAAGTACAGATGGATCACTGCTTTGTCGACTGAGATGATAGGATACTGCCACTAACAAACCACAAAAAATGGAGAAAAGTACTGGAATATGCTGGCCATCCCAAGAATCCTATTAAAAAAAAATTTAACAGAATAATATGCTTCTAATTTATAATCTATCATATAATCCTTTTATGCCAGTATTTGCAGAAAACAATGAAATCAAATTCAACAAAAAATTTTAGCCACATTATTAATTGCATTTGATTCCAGAAAAATTTAGACTTATTATTTTCTGATGAGCTAGAATCTAGCTTCTAGATTTCTTTTGGTACTAAAGCTTCAGATTTCTTTGTGTAATAAAGCTCTATTCATACGGTAGGAATATTTTCCTTCTGATGCATGTCGCTACCAGTTCTTTCAGATTTTAAGTGGTATTAATTTTATAGTAAACTATGCACTCCTTTTTGAAGAATAAAATAACAGTATGTAAATATTGTATAATATATATAATAATGGAGTAGGAAAAGTCAACACGTGATATGACACATTAGGCAAAAGAAAAGGTTGATATTTGGTGTGCTACATTCTTGATGTCTTGCTCATGTTCTATATATTCTATTACATCCTCCACATCACTGAGCAGGCATTCAGTAACTGTTTCCTAAACAAATGACTGCATAATAATATAAATGCTAGCTTCCAAGGCCAACAAACATGTGGCTATGCCATGTTGGCTCTGCTTGTTGTAGTATCTCTAAAGTCTACTAGCATAAAACGTGGCACAGAGTGAATCATACTGTTAACGTGAATAGTTAACAGTTCTTAAGTATGTCCTGCAAGGTAGACACCATTTTAATCCTTCATCTTTCTCTGGGGATTTGGAAAGGAAAAATTGTATGAGTAGGGAACCAAATGGGAGTTTTTAATAAAATTTGCCTTTTTTCCCCCACTTAAAAATAGTCACAACATGAACATTTTTAATGCCTAAATCAAAACCTTATTATCATCATATTGAACAGTATTTGTAGAGCCACATTCTTAGATCTTTGTAAGTATTCCCTAAATAATTTTTACCATAACTCTTGGAAGTATGTACTATTACTCCCCAATTCATAGATGAAAAAGCTAAGACACAGAGGGCTTAAGTAATTTGTCCAGTTAAGTGGTAGAGCCAGAAAGTGAACCCCTCACGTGTCTGAATGCACTGAAAAAAAAGTTAAATGTGTCAAGAGTTTGAGAATGAAAAAGAAATAAATATATAAGAAAACAAAGGAGAACACAAAATACAAGTAGGAAGAGCATTTGCATAGGATGATAAGGTAAACATATCAGGTGTAGGTGGGAGATAAGAGAGGCTGTGTATGTGGTGGAGGCTGGGGTCGGGAGATAGAAAGTCAAGCCTACAATTTCCATAAAGGGCAGTCATGGATACTGCTTAAAACTTAAGAAAATACCAGAAATAGAAATAAAAGTTAGGTAGATATGTGGAGGTAAATACCAAAAGAATCAGCTCAAACAGTTGAGAGTAAAAAGTCTAAGGAAGGTAGGAAGGTAAGAAGGGTAGGAAATTGCTCTTTTTGGTAATAAGTTGTAGAATTATTTGACTTTAAAGTATCTGCATGTATAACATTGATAAAATATAAACAAAAAAAAGATATGCAGTATAACCACTTTAGAAAACTGGCAATTCATTTCTAGGTATTTGCCCAACAGAAATGAAAACATATGTCCACAAAAAGATGTGCACAAGAATGTTCCTAACAGCCTTATTCATAACATCCCTGAACCGGAAACAATTCAAATGTCCATCTTTAAGACAGTAGATAACCTGTGATATATTCATACAATGGGGGCAAGAGGGATTTAAAACTAAATGGAATACTCCTCCAATAAAAAGAAACAAACTCCTGCTACACACAATGTGGATGACTCTCAATAGCATCATACTAAACAAAATACATCAGACACAAAACAGTACACACAGTACGATTCCATTTATGTGAAGTTCAAGAACTCCAAACCTAACCCACAGTGAAGGAAATAAGAACAGTAGAGGGTAGAGAAGATAAAAGGAAGTTTTCTGGAGCGATGGAACTACTTCATAGCTTAGTAAGGGTGTAGATTACACAGGTGTATGCATTTGTCAAAACTTATCAAGTTATGTACTTAAGATATATGGATTTCACTGGTACGTAAATTTTGTCTCAATTAAAACGAAACAAAATGAGTATTTAGGGGAAAAAACAAAAGATGCCCACCTGTATTTGACAAATACTTGATACCACTTAGTACTCTCAAACAAAAGAAGAGCATTCTTAAAGTTATGACAAAATGACTTGTTTATTTAAGAATTTAGAATTATCATATATTATTAACAGAAGCTATTCATGAACACCTCCTGTTGTACCCCGTGCCCGCCCCCTTTGATTTCATGTTGAAATCCAAACCCCCAAAGCGATGGCATTAAGAAGTGGCATCTTTGGAGGTAAGAAGGTCATGAGGGTAGAATCCTCATGATTGGGATTGGTGTCATTATAAAAGGAACCTCAGAGAGCTCTCCACTCCTCTTTCTGCCATGTGAGGATACGAGAAGTCAGCTGTTTGCAACCTGGAAGACAGTCCTCACCAGAACCTGACCATGCCAGCACTCTGATCTCTGACTTCCAGCCTCAAGAACTGTACTGCTAGTTATAAATCACCTAGTCTATGGTACTTTGTTATTAAGATAACAGCCTGAACTCAGAAACCTCCCTAACTTACAAATTATATATAAACAAGTTGATAGTAACTACTACTTCTATTGAGTCACTAACTAGAAAAACAAAAAGGAAAACAAAACCCAAGTACCTCTGAGTTGTCAATGAATTCTGATTCAGAAGTGGACAGGGACAGAAACTATGAAGAACAAAACTGCTTATGGAAGCTGACGTAGCTCAAAAGATTTAAAAGGTGGGTTAATTTTACTCACTGTAGTGGACCCTGATTTCCTCCAAGGTCTAAATATTTTTACTTTATTACATAATGGCCCAAATCTCTAAAGAGTATGAAAACATCTGAAACGTTTACACATATTAATACAATACACTAGAGTGGTCTTAAAAAAAAAATATTTAGCTTTTGATGAACTATGTATACAGCCTGCTAAAAAGTTCAAGGAGGCTGGGTGCAGTGGCACACAGCTATAAACCTACCACTCTTAGAGGCTGAGGCGGGAGGATCGCTCAAGGCCAGAAGTTTGAGAGCAGCCTGAGCAACACAGTGAGACCCTATCTCTATTAAAAAAAATTAACAAAAAAAAGCTCAAGGAAAAATAAGAATAAACAAAAGGAAAGCAGATGTCCCACACACATAAAAGCCTATTTTAGTGAATAGATAAAAAAAAATTAAACCGTCCCTAAAGGTATGCAATAAAGTCCCCAATAAGTCTAACTGTCCAGAAGTAACCACTATTCTAAATTTCTTATGTATTATTCTATAAGTATCCTATGTATCTACGAAACTTCATGTATACTTTAAAAAAACAGCACAAAGGAAACATCAATTTTGGGCATACTGCTCTCGTTTTTAAAGAAAAAAGAAGCCGACAGTATGTCTTAGAGATCACACCACAACTAGCATGTAAAAAATGTATTTTATTCTTTTTCCTGACTGCATAGCATTCCTTTGTATAGCTCTATGATAACTGATTTGACCAGTCATGAATGACAGCTATTAGGTCATTTGTAGCTTTGTAAAATATTTTAATTTAATTTTATTTTTTTAGAAACAGGGTCTTGCTCTGTCACCTAGGCTGGAATGCAGTGGCACAAACATAGCTCACCACAGCCTCAAACTTTTGTCAAGTGATCCTCCTACCTCAGCCTCCCAAGTACCTAGGACTACAGGCATACAATAAAATGCCTAGCTAATCTTTTTTATTTTTATTTTTTTTAGAGATGAGGTCTTGCTATGGTACCTAGACTGGTCATCAAGCAATCCTCTACCGCAGCCTTCCAAGTAGCTGGGATTATACGCGCGACCCACCAAGCCTGGCTCATTACGAGCTTTTTACTGTCACAAACACTGCTATAATGAAATCCCTGTACAGGCATACCTCGGAGATTGCAGGTTTCGTTCCAGACCATTATAATAAAGCTGATATTGCAATAAAGCAAGTCACAATTTTTTTCATGTTCTAGTGCAAATAAAAGATATGTTCACACTATACTCTTGTCTATTAATAGTATTATGTATAAAAAGTGTATATACTTTAATTCAAAATTACTTTATGGCTAAAAATGCTAACTATCACCTGAGCCTTCACTGAGTTGTAATCTTCATACTGGTGAAGGGTCTTGCCTTGATGTTCATGGCTACTAACTGATCAGGGTGGTGGCTGCTGAAGGGTGGAGTGGCTGTGACAATTTCTTAAAATAAGAAAATAATGAAGCTTGCTGCATCAACGGACTCTTCCATTCATGAATGAATCCTTTGTAGCACGTGATGCTGTTTGATAGCATTTTACTGATAGTAGAATTTCTTTCAGAATTGGAGTCTACCCTCTCAAACTCTGCCACTGCTTTATCAACTACGTTTATGTAATAGTCTAAATCCTTTCTTGTCATTTTAACAATGTTCACAGCATCTTCACCAGGAACCAGTTCCATCTTCAGGAACCATTTTCTTTGTTCATCCATAAGAAGCAACTCCTCATCCGTTCAAGTTTTACCATGAGATTGCAACAATTCAGTCACATCTTCAGGCTCCACTTATAATTCTAGTTCTCTTGCTGTTTCCACCACATCTGCAGTTACTTTCTCCACTGAGTCTTGAACCCCTCAAAGTCATCCCTGAATGAGGGGTGGAATCAACTTCTTCCAAACTCCTGTGAATATTGACAGTTTGACCTCCTCCCATGGATCATGAATGTGCTTAATGGCTTCTAGAACGGTGATTCCTTTCCAGAAAGTTTTCAATTTACTCTTCCCAGGTTCATCAGAGGAATCACCATCTATGGTAGCTACAGCCATATAGCTATACGAAATATTTCTTAATTACTCCTTGATCCACGGGCTGCAGAATGAATGCTGTGTTAGCAGGCATGCAAACAACATTAATCTGCTTGTACTTCTCCATCAGAGCTCCTGGTGACTTGGTGCATTGTCAATGAACAGTAATATTTTGAAAGGAATCTTTTTTTCAGAGCAGTAGGTCTCAACAGTGTGCTTAAAATATCCAGCAAACCATGTTCTAAAACAGATATGTTATCATCCAGGCTTTCTTGTTTCATTCAGAGAGCACAGGCAGAGAAGATTTAGCCAAATTCTTAAGGGCCCTGGGATTTTCAGAATGGTAAATGAGCATTGGCTTCAACCGAAAGTCACCAGCCGCATTAGCCCCTAACAAGTGAGTCAGCCTGTGAGGCAAGAGGATTGCTTGAGCCCAGGAGTTTGAGGTTGCTGTGAGCTAGGCTGATATGATGATGCCACAGCACTCTAGCCCAGGCAACAGAGCGAGACTGTCTCAAAAAAAAAAAAAAATAGTGATAGTAGTAATAATAATAAAATAAAATAAGGAAAGAAAAGAAAAGGATAGGTGCCCACTGGGAGTGCCTGTCAAAAAAAAAAAAAGAGAGAGAGAGTGAGTCAGCCTGTCCTTTGAAGCCAGGCATTGACTTCTCTCTAACTGTGAAAGTCCTAATGGCATCTTCTTCCAGTACAAGGCTGTTATCAATGATCACAGCTAGATCTTCTGGATAACTTGCTGCAGCTTCCACATCCACACTTGCTGCTTCACCTTGCACTTTTATGTTATAGAGACAGCTTCTTTCTTCAAACCTTGTGAACCAACCTCTGCCAGGTTCCAACTTTTCTTCTGCAGCTTCCTCACCTCTCTCAGCCTTCACAGAATTGAAGAGACTTAGGGCCTTGCTCTGAATTTGGCTTTGGCTTAAGAGAATGTTGTAGTTGCTTCAATCTTCTACCCAGACCACGCAGACTTTCTCCATACCAGCAATAAGACTGTTGTGGCTTCCTATTATTTGTGTGTTCACTGGAGTAGCACTTTTAATTTCCTTCAAGAACTTTCCCTTTGCATTCATAATTTTGATAACTCTTTGGCACAAGATGCCTCGCTTGGTCCTATAGACTTTCAACATGATTTCCTCACTAAGCTTAACTTAATGTCTAGCTTATGATGTAAAGTGAGAGACATACAACTCTTCCTTCCAGCAGTGCAAAGGCAATATATGTAACCAAAGCGTTTGTACCCCCATGATATTCTGAAATTAAAAAAAAAAACAAAAAAACCTGTTCCTTTCACTTGAATACTTACAGGCTATTGTAAGGTTAATAACTGACCTAATTTCAACATAGTTGTGTCTCAGGGAATAGGGAAGCCTGAGGAGAGGGAGAGAGATGGGGGAACGGCCAGTTGGTGGAGCAGTCAGAACATACACAACATTGATCTATCAATTTCACCTTCGTTTATATGGATGGGGTTCCTGGTGCCCCAGAACAATTACAATAACAACATCAAAGATCACTAATCACAAATCACCATAACAGATATAATAATAATAAGGTTTGAAGCACTGGGAGAGTTACCAAAATGTGACAGAGACACAAGGTGAGCACATAGTATCGGAAAAGTGGCACCTACAGACTTGCTCAATGCAGGGTGGCCACAAACATTCAATTTGTTAAAAACACAATATCTGAGAAGCACAATAAAGTGACACACAATAAAATGCAGTATGCCTGTACATAATCTCTGCTCATGCATGCATCTGTAGCTTTATTACATTACAATGAATCATATTTAAAACTAAAATTGTTTAATGCAACTACCATGCCCCAGAAAGAAGGAAAAAACATTTACCTTACTGCCCACCTTAGGACACAGCTACTGGCAGTTTTATAATTGCTGCTGTTCTTCCATATAATTATAGTTGAATAGGCCTTTCTAAACTAGGCTAGAAAACTTACTGCACCTGTTAACTTCTATAACTACAACTTTCAGATAATGATTCACTTTCCAAAACATGACTCAAAACATGATCTAACATCTTTAGCCACGTTGGTTTATAGGTGTTGCCTATGGGATAAGCCTGGATTTGGATCTTACTGCCTCCAGTGCTTTCCTGGGCTTACCTCCATTGATTATCTTCCTTCTACTAAATTTTTCCTCCTCACTTTTTAAATGCAGTCTAGTCTCAGAGCTTTTTAAAAAACAAAGACCAGAAAGCAACTTCCATTATGTGTATATGTGTATATCTCCCAATTACATTCTAAAAAGAGTAGAATGCATTTCCTTGCTATACATTCAAACCTAAACTTACATTAATCTGGTTTCCTTAACCAAAACACCAAAGAAGCTGGTTTTGTTAAGTCACCAATATCCTGTTAACTGCCAAATTCAACAAAAACCTTCTTCAGACTACTGCCTCTGAAATTTCCTCGGTGTGTTTCTGCTATATCCAGTACTTCAATACTGGCATTTCCCAGGGTTCTTTCCCCCTCCATTTTCTCGTCAATCTGCATTAACAGCTTTTTCTTACACTTTATTGAATTTTGTTCCTGACTTCTAAATCTATGACTCACTATCTTAAACGTCTCTACATGTAATAATCTACCATGAATCTCTGGATACCTCGTAAATATCAACAAATAAAGTATAAAAATGTAAACAATCACATTCCTCAACAAACTCAAAGGTTTCCAATCTTGTGCATTAGGACCACTTCCTAACCAGTTGTTCAAGCCATACTCTACCCAGAAATCATCCTGGATCATATTCTGGCTTTTTTCTCTTTATCCAGATAGTCCCCAAATATATTCATGGAATCCAATTTTAGATAAGTCCCTCTAATTTCAACATTACACCACAACAGTCTCCTTACGTCGATCTCTCCTGCTTAGACTTCACTCTCCTTCACAATGGAGACCAGTCATCTCTTTAAAATGCAACTCCGATCATTTCCTTGCTCTACCTCAAATACACTGATGGTTCTCCATCTTCACCCCACCACATTTAGGATAAAAGATATCTCATGATCCAGCTTTTGCTTACCTTTCCAGTCTTCTCAAAGGCCATCTTTCCTTATGAACCCAAACCTCCAGCAATTCCAAATTATTTACTGTTTCCTCTACACAACCCATTTTCTTTAAAACTCCATGGCTCTTCATCCCTTGTTTTAATTAGCTAATGTCTATCTGTTCTTCAAAATTTGGTGAAAATCACCCCCTTAGAAAATTGTTTTAAATCCCTTTCAGCTGAATAAAGTAGTTTTGATTTGTATACCCATAGCACTGTCTTCATAACCTTCATTACTCTGTATTAAACATGTTGGTTGAATTATTAATCATAGCTAACCTATCAGTTCCTTCAAAGAAGAAAATGACTCTTAGCATAATACCTGGCATACAGTAAGTGCTCTATAAATTCTACTTAATAAATGAGGCAAGGAAGGATGTTGTGAGTCACTTTCATAGTCCTTTCAACCCTACCATTCTGATTATCTTGCATTAATCACAAAACAAAAACCAAAAAAATCCAGAAGTATGTGTCAGGGGTTAAAAGTTGTCTATAAAAATTTTTTAATTTTCATGTTTACGATTTGGTGACAACCTTTTAAAAGGGAGCTCATAAAGCTCATCCAGATCCTTCTAACCCAATAATGACATTAAATTTCAGTGTATTAATTTTTACTAGGATGTATCTTAAATTGTAGTCTTGAACTTGTAAGTTTAAAGAAACCTTGATATGAAAAGTGGTTACATAAATTCTTAACTAGAAATCTGGAATTAATTTCATATTCTATAATTACCATGTCCACCCCTATACCAGATGAGCCTAGTTTTTAATACTGTTTCTAATATTAACCTATGATTACTACATGAAAATAATATTCTTTAATAATGGTTAACTATTAAATTGCTTTCACATTTAATGTAAATGAGAATAAATATAATGTTCATCATATGAAAATCATGGAAATTAATGCTAAAGTGGCACCAGGGGAAAAAAATCATTATTAGTCAATTTTAAAACAATCTTCATATGGAAATATAGTCTTAAACACAAAACATTCTACAATTTATTGCTCACCTTTAAAGCTCCATAACACAATCCATATAATAAAGCTACTGCCACAATGCTGCAGATAAAACTGTAAAGTGCTGCAAGTAGGCTTGTAGTGGCTAGACAGTAAAGGAAAAAAAAAAATCAATATTTTATAAACATCTATGAAAAAAATTATAAGGTCACCAAAAAGCATTTAAAATGTTATAACGTTGACTATAATTAAATACCTACTCAATAGATTTTTTAAAATTGTTATTTCATCCTGTACTTTCAGAAGATCTTGACATGACAGATTTGCTATCCTTAATCTTTGTTACAGGATAAAATATATTCCTCTTGGAAGTAATGAACATTTATACATAGCAGAAAAAAATTATACCTATATTATGCTTCAAGAATGTATCTTAGGCTGTGCATGGTGTGGCTCACTTCTGTAATCCTAGCACTCTGGGAGGCCAAGGTGGGAAGATCGCTTGAGCTCAGGAGTTTAAGACCAGCCTGAGCAAGAGCGAGACCCCGTCTCTACTAAAAAATAGAAAAATTAGCCAGGTGTGGTGGCACGCACCTGTAGCCCCAGCTGCTCAGGAGGCTGAGGCAGGAGGATGACTTGAGCCCAGGAGTTTGAGGTTGCAGTGAGCTATGATGACGCCACTGCACTCTACCCAGGATGACAGAGCAAGACTGTCTCAAGGGGGAAAAAAAAAAAAAGAATGCATCTTATATAGACAAAAAATATTTAAAAAATCAAGCTTTCAGAGGCCTAAAAAAGAACTAGAGATGTACTAAGTATTCACTGAAAAATATTTGTCTATGTAAACAGAACCTGTATTACCCACAGAAGTAAACCTGTATTCCCATGTGTTAATTTTCACAAAAAAGTACAGATCTGACTAATTACAAACAATAATAACAGCAAAAACTAGATCCAATGGGATTATCAGTAATAAGGAAGAGGGGGTGGCTAAGACATTGTTAAAACATAGGTGAGAGATTTTCTTTAATGGCAATTTTATATGATGATCATATCTATTTGGGATAATCTTTTATAAATATCTCATAAGTTTATACAAGTTCCATGTAAACTCACTATAACTTTTCGTTTCACACATTTTATCACTTCTTACACATCTGCTCCATTATTCCTGGATCTTTCACTAAAATACTTTTTCCTATTTACAAATTAATTGTTTCTCAGTTTTCAATTATTAAATGTCTTTTCTTCTAATTTCAGTCCTAAACTGAAAAAGCATTTTGATGTTCAGTGTATTACCACATTATCTGTAAAAGTAATATATAATTTTTATAAAGAAATACTCACCATTACCACCAAAGATATGAATATCCAATTGTTCACAAAGGTACATTACAAATGTATTCACCTGAGGCAGGAGACCAATGAAAAATACTATTGGGAAACAGAGTGTAAACACTACAGAAGGAAAGAAAGGTATATTAAAAAATATTATACTATATCCATCTTTTGTTCACTGAAACATCATAAATGATGAAAAAGAATCCAAAATTAACATCCACTACTAAGCAATTTTTAAAAGATATCATTTTATTTATCTTGACATAATTACAGGGGTATTAAATATTTTCAATCTATAAACAACACCTTTTAAAATTATTTCAACCATTTTCACATAATAGGAACCTAAGACAAAGAATCCAAGAAAACCTTTTCATTACTTCAAGAACAGAAGAATTATTATAATGTTTGTTATCATTAGCTTTTTTCATTCATCATAGCCCTATAGTTTTGTTCCTCAGAGAGAATTATGATAAACAGCAAAATAAGCTTACTAAAACTATTTTTATCTATTTAATTGATGTTTATCACTTAACTATTGATATACAAATAAATTAATATTAAGATTAGATACTTAAAGATGACTCACCTATAACTAAATCCCTGGCTGATATAAACACCAGTGGATTGGTGAAAGTTATTCCATATAATTTGAACTTGTTTGCAGTCAGGTTTCTACTACCATAATCCAAGAGCCAAATAAGTCCACAACATAAACAGAAATAAACTGGTCTACTGTAGGCAATGATACGATTATGACCCTGAAAATGATATTTTTTAAAAAGTCAGATTAGTTAATTTTAAGAGTCACAACTAGCTATTGAGATCATTGATGGTTTATATTCTAAAGGATTCAAAATTTTTCCATATGGAAGCCAGGTTTCTGACAGTCACAGAAGGAAACGACATAGAAAGGAGGAAGAATAGAATGAACTGTGATACTGAAATAAAATTAGAGGTATCAGTATGAACTCATTATTTTAAATATGCATATACATAGATATAAGAATAACGTGTATACATGTACATACATATGTATATTTCCTAGCTTTCTCCACTGAGAAGACCTAGAAGCAATGACATTCTAGTAATAAAGATTACTAGCATCTAGAACTTAGTTTACAAATGCCATTATTTGTACACAAAACACCAGGGCTCCACAGAGAAAAGGCTGGTTTCATGCTAGGGTAGGTAAAGTACAAGCTGAACGTGGAACATACTGTTGTGACAAAAGGTAGGAAGTACTTAAAGAATGACAGGGATATTTCAAAAGGACACAGAAGGCAGCTTGATGGACTCCCAGTGGCCCAATCAAAGATAATTTGAGCACTGAAATAAATAATACCAGTACTATAGTCTACTGAATAAAATAATCCATTTTTACACATTAATACATACATTCATACATACATACATACATACATAAGCAGAAGGGAAAACTCTTCCTTACAGTAAAAAGGCAACGAATGATGGAACGAATGATGGAATTAGAAAATCATTATTTGGCAACCATCAAATGATAAGTGAATCAGGCAAGAAACATCAGTAGGTACTAAAGCAAGTGGAGAGAAGTTTATAGCATAGCAAGACATATATACAGTCTCAAAGTATCTCCCTATGAGATATGTATTAACTACAAGAGAAAAACAGTAACATTACAGTAGAATAATGGCTCTTAAGGAAAAGGGAGGGGGTTTTGCTCCCCAGGAGACATTTGGCAATGTCTGGACACATTTTTGTTGTCACAATTGGGGCAGCGGTGCTACTACCATCAAGTGGGTAGAAGTCAGAAAGGATTCTAAACATCCTACAATGCATAGGACAGTACCCACCCACCCTCAACAAAGGATCTTCTATTCCAAAATGTTAATACTGCAGAGATTTACCAAAAGATCAAAGTTAACATCACTAGTAATAGGACAAATCAACATGTGCTTCCTGGTATCACCTACTGAGTAGAACACATCACTTTTGTAGCATTCCTACCAAAAAAATGTGGCCTGTATCATATCAAAAGAAACATCAGACAAACTCAAATTGAGAGACAGTCTATAAAGTAAGTGGCCTGTATCCATCAAATACTTTAATATCATGAAAGAGAAATACTGAAGAATTGCTCCAGATTAAAGGAGATTTAAGAGACCAAACATAAGCAGGAACTTTCTATTGCCAATTCAGTCAATGAGCAAAATCTGAATTAAGATCTGTGAATTAGAAAATAGTACTGTATCAATGTTAATGTTCTAATTTTGATAATTACATTAAACTAATGTAAAGGAATGGCTTTGTTTCTAGGAAACATTTGCTGAGATATTTAAAGAGGCATGGTGTCTACAAGTAGAGAGAAACAGAGAGAGACATTATGTGCTAGAAAGCAATTAAGCAAATACGGCAAAATGTTAACACAGGAAATCTGGGTGAACACTATCTGGATTTCTTTGTACTACCCTTGCAACTTTTCTCTAAGTCTGAAATTACATCAAAATAAAAAGTTAAAAAGCAATGCTTCCATATATCATTATATTTCAAAAACATTCTTACAAAATAATAAATATATCATTCAAAAGAAAATCATTTGCCTCCTTGTATTATTTTGTTCATCTATTCCCACTATTAATTATTCCAGTGTATGGATAAAAAACATAATTATATTCAAGAAAAAAAGCATCATCATAATCTATTCTTGAAGTCTATTTTTGAACTATTTTAAAGAGAATATCCTTTGGCCTTCCTATTAAATACTCAAGTTACATCTAAAATTGGTTCATACTTCACAATAAATAGTGCTAGGGAGATAATATTTTCATCTAAAGTCACAGAGTGAACAACAAGGTTTTTATCTCATCACTTAGTCTAATGCCCTTAACACCAAACTAATGTATTACTTCTTTATTCTTCCTCCTAATGATTACCTAAGTGAAATAATATAAAGTTTTCCCCACTTCAAAACTCTATTTTCAATATTTATCACAATCTATTATTCAAAATGTATTAAATGCAAATAATCACCAGTTTATATGAACAATATTTACCTAATTGATAGCCTGAAACAGGCTATCAAAAAATGAATTATTATGCTTGTTTTCAACCAAGATTTAGAGTCCACGAATATGCGTCATTTTATTTAAAGCTAATAAATCACCTCTATTTCTAATACTGTGTCAAAACTTAGATGAGAAAATAACAGAATAAATCTTAATTCCATCTGATGCATCCCCTCCCCCCCCAAAAAAAAGCCCTTGATAAATGTTAAGAAACTACAAGTTATAGTCATATTAGAGTAACTTACATGTCTGGGAGAAGAAGAATCTGGTTGAACACTCTAAAAATGAAACAAAAAGACAAATTACACTGCTGAATTCCTGGTAATTTTATAAGCAACTTACAAAATGTCTGAAATGGTTTCAAGTAAATATTCCACAATCGCAAAATGACCTCCATTAATCTTTTCCACAGATGAAACATCAGTTCCAGATACTGATGTCACTGTGATATTAAAAACATCTTAAATCTTTCCTGATAAGAGTCAAGAAATAAGATTACTTATTTTGATTAATTAATAATTTGCATCTAGCTTAAAGTTTTTGAAATAGCATATGGTAGACAGATTCATCTTAGTGCTTGGCTTGTTACTATACATAAATATAGTTAAGTTAGAATTCTTTCTCATGGGACATATCTCCATTTAGGAAATGCACAATAATAACAGGTTAGCTTATAACAAGAATTCTAGTTTTGCCCACAAATTCCAAGCTTACTAAACAATTGAATGATACCTGTATTAAATATATTACATGCATTTTTACATCAAAATAATCAAATAAGCTAAGCTGTATCCTTTTAAGAGACTTTGTTAACTTCCTATAAAAATGCTCAAAAGGTATTACACAGCTGTTTCCCAAATCATGACTTTCCTCCCAAGTTTCAGTTCATTTCCAATGGTACACCAAACAATTTCACTAGGATGGTCTATCACTACCCTACAATTCTACATTGGACCAAGCTTGCTGAATTTGGCATTTGATCCTTGGCTGTATTTGAGTCCAGGTAATCTTTAAACTCTTTCAACTATAACACTTATCCTCTAAAAGCTTTTGTTCTTGTCTTCTTTATTTCTGTTTATGACATTACTATTTTTCTAGTCAACAAGAGTAAAAAAATCTCAGTCATCTTTTACCTTTTCCATATTAAACCATATTAACCTGAAAGCAGCAGACAAAATTAATTGGACAACGGACAATAGAGAGAGGAAATGAATTTGAATGGTTTCAGGCAATGAAAGGATAGATTACTGTGGTTGAAATGAAAGACAAGAATGAAGACCAGTCCAGGTGTTAGTGGCTCACCCCTGTAATCTTAGCACTTTGGGAGAATGAGGCAGGAGGATCAATTGAGACCTGGAATTTGAGACCAGCCTAAGCAACATAGTGACACCCCGTCTCCACAAAAAATAAAAATAAAAAAATCAGCTGGGTATGGTGGCACGTGCCGGTAGTCCCAGCTACTCAAGCAACTGAGGCAGGAAGATCACTTGAGACCAGGAGCACGATGTTGCAGTAAGCTACGATGACGCCAGCCACTGCACTCTAGTCTGAGCAAGAGAGCAAGACCTTTTCTCAAAAAAATAAATAAAAAATATTTTTAAAAGACCAGTAAATTTAGCATAGAATCACCAAATTTAATCAAAGGATTTGGTTACTTATTATTAGGAATCAAGGAGGAAGAAGCAGAGTCTAAGATTCTGAGCTGATATACCATAGTCAAAAGCAAAGAAATTGGGAAAGAAAAATTAATCAGAAGATGATAATGTGCTCTTTTTAAAATACTTCCAACTGTCTGTTGTATATATAAGACTAAAGCTTGCAAAAGAGGTGAAAGCTTTGAGATGTAAATGTGGACATAACTCATATGGGAGGGCGACAAATAAAGTAATAAAAGAGGATGACTTCACTGGCACGGAATATAAACTGAGAAGAGGGCCAAATAAAACTCTAGAGAATTATCATAAATTAAGATAAAAGAACATAAAAGAACAAAGATGTATCAACAAAAGAGAATAGAGTCATTGGAAAAGTATGAGAATCATCAAGGTAGTATAAAGTCACACATCAACAATCAGAAGAACATAAACATGGAAGACTGTATTAATAGGTATTAACGCAGCACTCATAGAATGGAGACTAAGAAAAGGATATAGATTTAACAATTAGAATGATTATTAGCAACCACAAAGACTGTAATTTCAGTACTGCAATGAGGAAAGTATGGGTGAGTCTTAAAGAGATGAAGCAGATGACTTAGGTGGCTTACTCCAGGTATGTATCCAGCAAAAAATGGAGAGAGAAAAAAGAAAGAACAGCTTATAGTATAAACAGTACTAAATGAATAGTTTTTAGGCTGGCTGAAGGCTCTGCATGTTAGCATGTATAAGGCAAATAACCAATACAAAGCAAAGTGTATTTACTAAGAAAGAAAGGAAAGGAAATAGTTCGTGTTAACAACCCATACTGATTTTAATAGAAGGTGAAAATTTTGGTTTTACATGAGTTGATTCTCCCATTTTTTGAAAGCTTAAAATTAACAACATTTGGTATTTTTGAGTCACTATTAAATAATAACAAAGGGATACTAATCTCTTTTCAATGTTCCAAAAGAACATATATATTATTTATGACATTATTATATTTACCAATGACAGATTTTAATAAATTTCAACCACAGAATAGAGATTCAAAAGATGGGAGTGAGAGAGTTAATGTTGATAAATTAGAAAGAAAGAAATTTCAAGAATGCAAAGTCTTATTTTAACAAATACACAAATA